CAAGATAATGCAAAACCGCGTATGTGAGGTTGCATAAATTATTTTCTAGAAAGTAAAAACACTCATATTTCAAAATGCGTTTTTTCAGAATGACGAAACGCGGTTTTGTATTTTAAACGACGATATATTAGTGGATGGTGTGACTGTTTTAACGCTAACTCTGAATATAGTGCCGAAAGCCGGATAAGCCCTGAGAGTAGAACTTCACGTCAAGCCTTTTGGTGGTACGGTACTCAGCTCTCACGCCGTGATATAAAACTAATGGCTGAATAGGGCGTTTAAAGCATGAAAAGCATTAAGAGTACACAACTCCACAACATGCCTTTTCGGACATTCAGCTATAGCTGAATTGTAAAGCAGAGAGCCTTGAAAGTTTGTTGTGGAGTTGTACTCAGTACAATAGAACTTCACAAACAATGTTTTTTTTAGATATTCAGCGCTTTGTAGGCTTTCAGCAATCAATTCAGCTTAAAAAACATACATCCATACATAGCAGTACCAAGCGCTGAAAGCCTAAACACCGTTTACAGTTTAAAACCTTGGGGTGGAGTTCTATTTTACCTAACAATTACATATATAATTTATTTATACACATATAAAGTATATTTATACACATAGACTTCCGGTAAAAATTGCAATTCATAAAATATTTAATGCACCTCAAAATTACAAAGCCGAGGTAAATACTCGAAATTATGTGTGGCAACTTCAATTCCAAATAAATAGTTATTAGATACGGCAACACTAAACAAAAAAACAAATCAGTCACCCTGTACTTCCGGTAGTGCATTCCAATGAATTTCCAATCTAGAAGTGCGAAACTATCGATTTTAAGGAACAAAACAACACGTTGCAATTGTAAATTTTAAACAATTTACAAAAACGTGGAAACTTCGAGTTTGTCGAGTCACCAAAATTTTCAGTTTTTTAATTAGATTTCTTAATTTTTATTATGCACTTTCGTAGTCCATTATGCTTTAGTAAAATTGCAAGTTTGAAGTAGCTAGGGCTTACTGTAGATTTTATGTTTCCGATAGTATCGCGATAGTAGCAACCATTCATCGATAGTCGTGTCAAATTGAAACTATCGACAGTGCCTTCGATAGTTTTGCAGCTCTATTCCAATCACAACTTCAATTGATTGGGTGGCAGCACCGCAAACAGCTGGAGTGCGAATGAACCATAAAGCAACATAGCGATGTGACAGTGAGCGATAATTTGTCAAGACGAAAACATAAGAATTTTGCCGTCTGAAAGTGTCGGGAGTGATTGCGTTGGCATAAATATATAAAAGGAAGACTCAGGCACATTGACAACAAATATCCCTTGCTCGTTTCACCTATCATACACATAAAATCAATCGGTCGCCCTACGGTTTTATTAATTTCAACTGATACCTTAACCGTGCAGTGTATAAGTAAAAGATAGTGATCCTAAACGGAAACTAAAAGTAATAGCAACGAAACGAATATATGAATTGAATTACAAGTTCCGTGCATGCAAATTATATGCTAATCGAATTTACAGCACTTTGCTCCTAACACTTCTTTCAAGTACTTATCACCTGCTCGCGGTATATACAAGATGCTGAATCTTCAACGTACAATATTTTATGTACTGCTGTTCTATGTCAACACCGTATTGGCATGGGGTAAGTTAGAAATATAAGGCTTTCGAAAAGATATCACTTACGGGTAAACGTGCGTGTGAAATTATACAATGATGTTGTATAATGGACAAACAGCTGAATGCAATGTACTCTTGAATGCCATATCTAATCGAAATTTTGCATTGCATTCTATTTGAATGGCAAGATTTTCAGCAAATGTTATACATATGTAGGTATGTGCTGGGCACTGAAATTAAGCTAAATTCGTTAGGTTAGGTTTACTTATTAAATAAACTGATAAAAAGTTAAGAAGCCAAGTGCCGGTTTCTACGTGCGCAAATTGGAAAAGATAGTACGTATTATCAGTACATTTTGCTACCAATGATTCAATACTTCCACGCAGAAGTTCAATGTTACATTCATTACATGTACATAGAAAGAATCACGCAGGCAATGAGTTCTTATGTAATAAGAAAAAAATAAAAGTAAATGAGAAAATTTAACAAATGCACATTCTTGGCAACATATTGTGGACTTTCTTGGAAATGTCTGGTGAGCTCTTAGTTCAAGGTCATGCGCTTTAAATAATTTTGCTAATACATCATTTACGAGATTATCAGAAGTATTAGCATTCAAACACGTGTGTACACATATGCGTTTGCTTTATACTTGCGTATTCATAAACGCAATAAAGGTTAATTATAAATTATGCTTTGAGAATATCGATTTTTACTTCCATTTTCTTATCAATACATAAAATATATTTTAAAATGTGTACTGATAACTGAACTCTTTCTTGCTGATCACTAAACAATTGCCGTTTTATTTACAGCAGTAATACGCCTTGGATACCACCAGTCTTCTGTTAAAGCAATCATACTGCATAAATTTGTGATTATGTATATATGTATGTAAGCATTAATTTTGCCGATTGGTTTTTCATTATGTACATACATATGTACATATGTATGTATTTTGTTTATGGTGTGATGAATTACAGTTTTGCCGGCAAAAGCGCCATAGCGGTTGTCATTCCGGTCACGTATGCATTTCTTTTCGCTCGCAATACGCAAGCGGCTCTTATAGGTATTGTCTTCTTTTTGCAACTATGTGCTTATTTTCTTTTTCTTGTAGGTTTTCTTTATAAACTTTACACCAGCAATATCAATGTGATTATCTATATTAATAGAGTAAACATTTAAAAAACGTTTGCCTTTGGTTTAACTTGCTACATTAGCCTTTTTATCGGTATTGCACATCCGGCGCATTGCTAGTGAACTTTGCCATTACTGAACACTGCACTTTCCGCTTCCGTTCAAGAAAGCTGTTTATTCTGGTTATGATCGTATCTATTTAAAATATAGCGATTATAAAAATGAAGTAGTTATCAAATATATGGGTCGTTCCATATCATTTTTGCAACTAAAAAATAGATTGGC